ATTATTACTACATTTCATAATCATAGTTTTGATTGACTTAAATTTTCTTTTCTAAATTCAGTAACATTTTTAATATAAATGAAGTGTTATGAAACTAGATTTTGAAAATAGATAAATATTCTATGACGTTTAGAACATCAGTCGTCAACCTTTTTGATCTCACGGACCACTAGTATAATGTTTTTTTTATAAAAATGAGATTCTAAATATAAAATTATGCATACACTTCTTTTTACATTAGATCTTTTATAAACAAGCTACTTAATAAGGCAAAAAAGTAGAATCTTGGAATCACAATACAATTCAAACAAAACTTTTATTCTATTTATTCTGCGGCCAACCAGTGATCCACGGTTAGTGACCGCTGGTTTAGAATATTTGAAGTGACTTAACATCAGTTTATAAATCAAAACAGGCAAAGTAAAGAGGGGCTATCAATCTGGAAGATGATGTTCAAATTGAGTGAAGAACGTACCCAGATGCGATATTAATGTCGATCGACAGGATTTAATCCGGTGAAGAAAATTTCGTATTTTCTTAGCTCGACGAAAAAAAGGAAACAACAAAAAAAAACCTCGTCAGCTTTCAACCCCGCACTGTAATAACGCAAAGTGGAAAGAATGATAATGCCTGCAGACGAATGTCTCCGAGAGAAATATTTTTAAATATTGCCGCCCTCCGAGCACTGCTATACTTTTTGTCGTCTCCGTCCATCCCCCCATGCAACACTTTTCCTGATGAAAATTGAATAGACTGCACCGTCTGCCGCGAAAAAACAAGATACAATAAATAACATTTAATGTTTAACTTTATGCTTTCAGATGCGGATGCTGCGAACCGTTTTTTCTTTTTTCCTTCAGGAGAGGAGAGAAGGCCTAGAACATCGTCAACGGCGGAAAACGCTGTCGTCGTAGATTTCACGCAAACGATCGCAACGCGTTTCAACTAATTGAAACAGCAGCCGCACAATTTCTGCTAACTTGTTTATGCAACATTTACGCCAATTAGTGTACAAATCCATTTGCATGCTTACGATCTTACTGCTTACTCGGTCCGGCATCATTAACACACTTTATCATTACATTTGAAAACATTTTGCTAATTTTTCTCAGATCGTATACAAAAATTGTGGAATTGTGGAATTCTGTCACATATTTCAATAAAGTTTATGGACGTTAACTTTCATCGGTCAGATTTAGTTTAATTTCACATGAAAATAATACATTACAACGCCAAATGAGAAATAATTCTTAAAGAAGTTTATAGAATTTCTATTTTATTTCAATTTTTAATTAAAAAAAAAATCAAATTATTTATATATTAATTACTGATATAAAACAAATAAAAAAATATTTTTGATGTTTACTGAACTCTTGAATTATTAAAACCATTTATAAACTTTTATAATAATATAAACAATTTCCACCTTTAATATTTGTAATTTTATTAGTTTATTTTAGCACTTTATAAATGTAAATTTTAATTGATGAAATTAGTAAATTTCCTTGAGTTTAATAAATTAATAATATTAAGATAAATAAATTATTTAAATCTGTTTGTTGTTTATACGACGAAGAGAATTAACATGACCATTAAAGAAATCAATAGCAATATATAAAGAATGCTGATGATATTCAGATATTTTATATTTGATTTCCTGAATATTAACTTCTGCGTTGTTTGCCGTTCGTTCGCTCGGAGAAATAATAAAACGGGAATGAAAAAGAATTAATTGAGCACATCAAATAAAATACATCTTTGCGAAAAAAAACAAGAAATAAAGAGAGAGATAGAAATAATGGTCGAACGCGCCGCGAATTTTCCATCCACCCCAATGTAATTTAATGCAAACACAATTTTTTAACTCTTAATGACGAGAACCAATTATTAAAATTATAATCATTCTCTCTGCTTCTCTCTCTCCCTGTTTTTCTTTCTTTTTCTCTGTTTCTCTCTTTGTATATCCTTCTCTGTGTTTCCCTCGGTTTCCCTTCTCATTTATCAAGAATTTGACACAAATATCGTTTTTAAATAAATTAAGCGAATTAAATTTTTGTTAATATTCTAAACCGTAATTTACTCAAAGTACATTTGCAGTATAAGCGCCAAGTAGAACATACGCGTTTTAAAATGATCGGGTTAAGAATTCGGGAATAGTGCCCATATATTCAAAAGGATCTAAAGCGATTTCGTTGCATACACTTTGATATCCGAGTTTCCAGGAAGTGCTCATTTAGTAGTTGGCATGAATTCCGCACCGATAAATCCAGCATGCATTAATTTCAACGTTATTCTAAATTAAGAAGATAAAAATAGTATAAGAAAAATCCTATTTCACTATCTAAAAAAAAACATTTTGTATTGTTCTATTAACCCTAATTTTCTATTGTCTTTCTTAGCTTCCGGACATAATAAATTTAATAAAAAATAAAACGTAACAATGAGAACGCATCGATAAACGATAGATAACTAATATTAAGTTATTCCCTCTCACCGTTTGATCATCATTCCTCTTATCTTTATAATTATAGTAGGAAATACGCGAATGGATTGCTCCGAGGTTAAAATTATACGCGGCAATCAAAAAGTAGTTTCGTTTTATTAACTACCGACCATAAATACTAGTTGTTCTTGTTTCTTCTTTCTTTTCTTATTCCTAGATCCTTGGTCGTTTGAATTTCTTATATTACCCCAGGGCTCCACAAAATTCCACTCTGATTATAAACACTTCATAACTGCAAACCAGAGATAATAAAATTGTTCATTTACTTCTTTAAAAAAAATTGTCCGTTTCATTTCCTGCTCCGATTTTCGCCGTAAACCCCGAATTGCTATAATTTAATTTAATTAGGCATAATTTATGTTCACTTTCGCGTCCAGCAACTGTGACTGTTCACACTTTAGTTGTAAACATAAGCTGTTTATTGGTTCAGCCAATTTTGATTCGATTCGCGATCTGAATATATCTCAATTAAAATAATTTGCATACTTCTATTGCGAGTTTCATTGGTGTTGACCTCAGGCCCAAACGGATGTCGCTTCCTGATATTAGTTAAAATTTATTTTAATTTCGATTTTATTACTTGAACCATAAAAATAATTTGTTTACGCAAGAAAAACAAACAGATGGAGAGTTCGCGCTTCCAAGAAAACGCAGCTTTTTCAATTTGTTTTGTTCTTGTTACCATTCGTAACGATATTGAAGAATTTGTAGAAGTAACTAGGACACATTTTAAGTATTCCAAACGACGCCTTCAAATTATAGTTTAATTTACTTTGATGTATTGCATAGCTAATCATTTTAATAATGGGTATTAAAAGTTCAAAGAATCTATAAACTATTTTATGTGTCTATTGTTCTTATTCGGACAACAAATGATTGTAAAAACAATATGAATCCGTTATGAATTAATTATGATGGAAGTGGTCGTGAAAGTGTTAATATTTGAAGAGGGATTTGTAAATGTAACTGAAAAAATAATGCATTAGAGCTTTTAATTCTCATTCAATATTTACATTTTTCTTACATAAATATTAAGTAAATTAGTCCTTGATTAATCTTTAATGGTTACTAAGGATTGGATGGGTATTTATGAAGAAATATGCCAATGGGTTGGCTAATATTCTTCATACTTATAGAAAAAAACACGTAATAATTAGATTGATATGAAATGAAAAGGAAAATAAATTGTTAGTATATTACTAAGTTTCTATAAATTTGTCAACATTACATTCTGTTTGTAAAAAAATCCAGATACCTTTTATAATTAGTAATAGCTTACTAAGATATATAATAACAATAACACTATTTTTTTGACGCATATAAGGATTGGTATAGCCTTTGAAATTGATTCTCAGCAACAGTTGATGTATTATAATGTAATAGATTGGGTTGTCGTAATACAGGTATCCCCCGACTTACGAACTCCCGGACTTGCGAACAAAATTATAAGAGCTCTAACTTATTACAAGGAGATATATAGTGATAAAAAATTAACTGTCCAAACAAAAATTGATAATTTCTTTAATAAAATATAAAATTTTTGGAAGATGTACTATCTGTTTTGTTGCATTTGTCGTTTCTTATTAAATAATTGTGATATCTAGATTGAAAAGTATTTGTGAGGAAGTTTTTTTTTTCAAATTTATGCAATCAGTAATACGGAATTTAACATATATGAAAGTAAAAACAATGATAAAGTGTGGTAAAATAAGTATATTTTAAAATTCCACCGACTTACGAACAACCCTTTGGAACTGAACTAGTTCGTAAGTCGGAGCATACCTGTATATTGTTATTTATATGTAAATGTTTAATATTAACAAAAAAAACGTGAATTGCAAATATTAAATTCGGAAAATTGATCTTTTGGTGTTTCTGAAGCGAATCAATTCCTCAATTTAAAAATATTAATGCATGATTTTTCAGATGTAATATGAAAAAATATTATTTTAAGATAAATATTTTCATTACATTTTTACTGCGGATTAAACTGGTATTGATTGAAACAATAGATTACTTTGTAACAAAAGTTTTTCTATTTTAATCGAAGATTATTATGTTTCCAAAGAGTATTATTTCCATTATAATTGTTGTATATTTACGTTTTCATCAGAAACACTACAATAATGAAATATATACATGAATTCATATAAACGTACATTTTGTTATTGATTGATAAATGATACTATAATAAACAATAATTGATAATACACAATAACAATATTTTAAAAATAGATTAACAATTTTAAATGTTTTAAAATTTTTCAGTCCCATCAGTTTTCAGCAGGTTTGAGTATGATATATTGTTTCTTTATTTACCAGATGTGTAAATAAAAAATATAAGATTAACAATTTATATTTTTGCATGTTATTTTACAAACCGAATTTGAATTTTTTGAATACATAGAAGATAAATAAAATGGAAATATTCGACTACTTTTATAGATAGAATTCGTTTCTTTAGAACCTTAATTTTTTCAATCATAGAGTAGATTTTATTTTATTATCACTAACGCAGATATAAAATACAATAATTGAACAATTAAATATAATTTTTATGGTTCATGGAATAATTGCGGTAAGTATTTTATTTGCATTTAAATCGTTTATCGCGAGATAAGTCCTATTATTCGTTGTACACAATAATTATTTAGTTTTGTTTAAAGTGTATTGAGAATAGATGATTAAATGAACAATTTCTATGAAAAAGTAATCGGTAAATCTTCGATTTGAAGATAAATTTAATAAAATGAGTTTGCAGGAGAAGATGTTGAATGAAGGAAATTTATAAAAAAAAACGAAATTGTAAACTTGCTCCACTTCGCCAAAAGGCAATGCGATCTGAGGACATCTTTTATGAAACGGATAATGGACGTGCATTATCCTGAGGGCAGGTAATTTTTCCAAGTAAGTTGTCGTGTCCATCAGGAAGAGATTTACAGAGACGTCTGTTAAAGTATGATGTGAACAATGAAATACACTCCTTTCTTTTTCACCATTCCTTTACGTTAGGATCGCCAATATTCAGCGGGATTTATTCATTCGCTTCAGAAAGAGCATTAAATCCGAAGGTCAGTTTTCCGCAGAAATTCTGGGTTCTCGCAGGATTATTTATGTCCATGCGGTTCGAGCCCTCCGGGTGTAGTTTATATGTGTGTACAGCGTATAAGAGGACACGCGTGTCCCGAAACCAGCAACATCTGCCCGAACATATAATTCTACCATAACGCGAACACACTCACAGAACTAACGGACGTAAATTACGTAACTCTCGTTCCGTTTTCATTTATTAACTACTCCCGAATGGAATAATGATAATGCAGCATCGAAATTATTATCATTGCTGTAATTATCACAATATTGCGCAACTCTGGCGTTTTTAAGTAATGATTGGTTTAGTTCGAAAGTACACTTAAAGTTTGTGAACGGAGAATCGAAAAAGAAGAAAAGAGCGCGAGAAAAATAAAAATAAGCGCGATAGAAAAATATATTTATCATCTCTAGCATCTTAGTTGATTTATGTCCCATGGAAAGATGTATGGTATAAAAACGTAAAGGATGTCCATAAGGAAAAAAATATTTCACCCTTTTCCATAGCTTATTTATAGAATTACATAAATAAACCACAAAATATATTCGTTTAAGTAAATGTATTAAATCGCATATTTATATTATATTTATATACAAGAAGTTTACTTCAGTTATACAAAATAGGCATTTTGGGAAAAAATTTCTCTGTAGTTTAAATTTTGTGAACAATAATTTTAAAAATAAGTTAATAATCGATAATATTTTTATACGATCATAATAATAAAACGTTTAGATTCATAATAATTATTAATAAAACATATTTGGTCTTTTGGTCCAAATAGAACAATAAACATTTGTAAGTAATTACGTAAAGAAAATTTTATGAATAATATTTAAATTGTTCTGTAATGATTGCAAACATTAATATTTACAAATATAATTTGGGACTATTTTCATTTAGTTTAAGTTGATGTTTCATTACAATTATATTCATAAAACTATACCCAGCTTTTCTATTTCTATACTATTGCTGTATCTGCAATGTATCTTTTTTCTTACCGTGTTAAACCGTTTCATTTTTTTTTCTTTGTAGTAATCCTGAAGGATATTGCACTTATACAATGTATTTACTCAGAAAACTAAACATTTCGTTTACCTATTGCTGTTTGTACAAGCACCTGCACTAAACCGTTCCTGCAGCTTTCTCCAAAAATTACATTTTTTCGATGAAATCTGTAATAACTAGTTTTCAAAAACCGTCCCCTAACTCCCACCCTTATTTCCATCAGATGAAAAAAAAAGAAAAAAATAGGATTTTTTTTGCTCAAATTTTCAGTTCAGTTCTGTAAGACTAAGTGAGTGCACAAAAATGTCAGTAGAAAACGTGGATTCCGGAATACACATCAATTTCTACAGATCCGAGGAGGAATCCATATCAATTGATGAAAACGCAGCTTATATTAGTTTGGACGAAGCTTTGATGTTGCTCGCACCCCCCAATTCCTCAGACACGGATGATGAGTACATTACTCTGTACAAATTCGAGGAGGAACCACCGAAACCTAAGAAAGTGTTAAAACCTGCGGAACCTGCGCGAATCCTAAAAGAAGAGATTAATTATGCCCCGCCTGAGAAGAAGCGAATAGCCAGGGCGATATCCGCGGCAGTTGCTCTGAGGCCGAGTAACAACAACAACAACGTTACCAAAGTTCACAAAGTCGAAACCAAACCAAAAACATCTGTGATGATGAAGAAGATTTACAAGGCCATGAGAAAAAGGAGATAAAGCGGTTAGAACAATTACTTTTTGGACTTCTGGAAAGTATATCAAACAATTTATTTTGTTTACTTATTCTTACGGATCACTTATAACCCGTTGATAATCCAGAAGTTGTGATATTTGTAGTAATGAAAATATTACAGTTTATTTTCGAGTTTACTTTTACGTTTTGAATTAAAAAAAAATAAATATTTACTTTTTCTAATTTTAGTAATTCTAAATCTTTTAATGAGAACTCTTTTTTATCAATACAACACATCTTTAAATGAGAAGATCGACAAATTACTAATTAATTCTTTAGCCACAACTTAACTAAATTGTTTTAAATAAAACACGATTATCGATATTGATCTCTGAAAGACTATGTTAATAGACAACACCTAGTAAATCAGAGTGAATGCATATACTAATTATCTGGTCTATTCTAATAACAGGTGTCATCTAATTACTGATAACGTAACCTAGTTAGAACGTGTATACATATAAACCATTTACTAATTACAAATTTATTTTAGTCAATTGAATATTACTATTAATCCACTTCAATAATATTAGGTCGACTAGATTACATTGACTTTTTTGTGTGATAACAATTCCAGTCTGCACAATATATTATATTTTAATAGTAATAAAAAAAACATATTGTAAACATCAAAAATATTTCAATAACTTTAATATATAATTATAATCTAATAATAATCGTAATTTAGATTACAAACTATTCTATCATTAAAAATAAAAAGAATGCGCGCGTTCATCGAGCGTCGCCGATAATGTAGAGATCATTTTGAGTAAGGTTCAAGACATGGCTAAATGTTTTTCTTTATGTTAGGCAATCTGTTATGTTTTCTGGACATTTGTTCTTGTGATTGTGAAATTTATTCTGAAATACAAATATATATAGAACATGAAAATAATGAAATAATATAAAATTAGGCTTTATAAAGAATGAATAAAGTACAAAGTAAAGTGTCAATTAAGGTTATGATTATTCTGTATTTATTACAACGCATTTTGACAGCACACAAATAATCAAGTTTATTTGGTCCAAGAGACTTTGGGAATGTCATAGAATTCGGTAAGGTTGTCCAGATCCCTATTGAACTTCTCCACTTTCTCTTTGTGCGTAACGGTTGCCTTCTCCAGAATTCGTTTGGTCTGATTCTTCTCCCGCATATTCAGAAACGCAATTTCAGCCTTTGTGCGTTTAACCTCAAATTTCGTTTCTTCTGTTTCGTTCTCCTCCATGAGAGATATCTCCTCTACCAGCTGTTTAGCCTTCTTCTTGTTCTTCTTTTTCTTCTTAATGCCACCATCCCCTTTCATCTTCAATTTAGCCGGAACGGCATGAGCGTACGGATCTTCAGACGACATCTTCACTCGTCTATGCTCTGCGTGTATACTGATTCGTTACTCTTTTGTATTTTGGGTCTTTATACTTTTGGGTCATCCCCCAAACTGCAGTTTTACTACCACCTTAGTTCTAAAAGAATGTTTGCGGACATCTTGTTTTCCCTGTTTATACTTCTAAGAAAAATAAATTTAAATATTTTTTATTTTTAAAGCATTCCAACTACAGATGACTCACTAAAACTACCATTGAATTTATATTTTTTAAACTTATAATCTTCAACATTCTCTTATCTCAGTTAAGTTAATTTACTTAAATATTAATTGATAGAGAACAATAACCACTTAGTTTAGAAGTCAAAACATTTAAAAACTTCTTTTTGATTTTTTTTTAAGTTAAGCTACACAATTACATAATACTTATCATATTGCTTTTTATAGTTATATGTAGTTAGGCTAATACTTCACATTTGGAGGTTTAAAAAAAAAGATAAATAGTTACATTTCACTTCGTATTCTTGTCAAAGTTACATTTTTTTTCATGAAATTCTTTAGTTTTTGATATTAATTGAAAACCTGTTTCATTCTGGAAAATAAGTCAAATATTACAAATAATGACATATATGATTTAAGTTGTACACGTGTCAACAATATTTGTCATAGTAACAAATGTTATGTAATTCTAAAAGTCATTTAATCATTAATCCATAATTTCATTCAATCAAATATAACAAAAAAGCAAGTATTATTACTCGTTAATAAATGTTAATATTCGAATTAACTCCACAATATCTAATTTCGGGTTCAATCAAGCATTGTTTATACATTACTCTGAAGGAAACCAAATAGTAATATGTTTTCAGCAAGCAAATACATATAGTGAACTGATGGAATTTCAAGTTGATACACGTGTCAAATAGTTTTTTAAGTTTCCAAATATAAAATTACTTTTGTCATTTGAATTTTTGTAATATATAATTATAAAATACAAATTATTTCAGTTAACACCAAAATGAGTTTATTTTTTTCCTCGTACATTTCAGCATTTGCTTTTGATCGGTGGCATTGACAAAATACCAAACAAAAGCAGAAGAGATTTCATTCATCACGAAAAAGAGCAAGTGGGTTCAATATAAAGGCGAAATTAAATGCAGTAAAAAAAACAAATTAGCCTTTAGGAATATTCAAGAGTAAAATCCAATCCACTGAATTGCGGGAATCGCACAATACATTAAAAAGTGGATCACTACAATCGGAATTTAATTAAGAATTGGAAAAGATTACTTGCTCCAAAAAGTTTTCTGAAAAAAATGTCTTCTCAAACTTATAATTGAAGTAAAAACTTGTGATGATGTTGTATATTGTAGACATTTGTTTTTTGTAAACTTCCGAATGGAAGTTTTTACCATTATATTCTTCTGCAATTTGTTGGTTGGCTGCCGTCTTGTGGGTTAACTTCAGTATATTGATGCTGTGCGATTCCACTATTCCCTTTGTGTATCTGCTTCTATCTTTAACACTGTCATTGTCCATCGACTTGGCTGAAGGTCCATATGCTGAACCTCTTTCATTTGACTGTCCATTCATGATGAACGATGGCCCTATTGCTACAAGCACCGAGAGGGCTCATAAAGGGCCTGGCTTGACCAGGATTCGAACCGGCGCCCATGAAATCATGTATAGGGCGACTTAACCATTCGGCTATTAGTCGCAATTTTATTATATAAGAAAATTATAGTACAAATTATATTGGAAAGACATTACCTCGTCAAGTTTTATTAGAAATTTGATTTCAAAATAGAGTTCACCTCATTAGCAATTTAGGAGTCATAGTGAACTGTGCATTATGTGACAATTATGCTAAAGCAGTTGTCAATCCGGAATCATTCATTATTCAAATGAAACTATTAAAGTCCGACAGCACGTAAATCGCAAAAACGGACGTCGCTCCGATTCTACACCTAATTTTCGTTTCATCATCATGACTCGTACACTACAGTTTCACGTCTCCTCTGCGATAATGGAATCCGTTCGGCTAATTAGATTGCAGCCGCCTTTGAATCAGAAAAGTGCAATGGTCCGGCAATGCGAAACGGATTTATTCGAGCCAGAGATCCCATTTTCCCTTCCCATCCTGAATTGTCGTTCCAAATTCTAACGGAAATCATTTCTCATTCTGAACTTTGTAAACTTTTCAGTGAAATATTATTTACGATCTTCTCGCAGAGATCACAAAACATTTTCCTTAATTTATTAAAATATTTCAATCGAAATTCTGTGCGAAAAAGAAAAAAGAAAATATATATTTTTATAAGATAAATTCTTTTAATTTGTATAGGACATTATATGAAAATAGAACGAATTGGAAGAATTTTAACGGGAAGTTATAAATTATAAATCTTTATAATTAAACCAGACATGCATCATAAATCTTGCAAGTTATAGCTTATTTTAACAAAATAAATACCATTAAAAATATTAATTAATTCATCAGTTTTCATCAGAAAAACATTTTTTATTATTGTATTATTTTTAGCATTAATTCAATCTATTTAATTTACATTTAGTTGTATTCAAGATTAAATAAATCTAATATTCTTTCAAAGCTGGATTAATACTAAAAAAAATAGTAAATTGCAATTTAAGGAAAACGGTTCGTACTTGATTGCATTTATTCGAATGCACATGGAATGTACATTTGAATGAAAAATCTTTGATGTTTCATTTTAAAACGAACGCTTGTTTCAAATCTGCAATTAATTATAATTTTCCGACCGAACCAGTAGCAAAAATACGTCGCGTTGAAATGAAATGAAACACGTGTGATGTAACTATATTCCGAGTCTTGTTAGTGGAAATAATTGCCCTGTACGTTTTGTTTAAGGGCGAGACAGACGATAATTTTGCTTCGATCCGAAGGAGCTTCGAACTCGGTGCGAATTCTTTGCGTGAGATGTGTCGAGTTTGCCGCCAGCTGCATCACCAATTTATGGAATCATTAGAACGGCATCTCGATAAACGTATGTACGAACTCTCATGATTGCTCCGAAATTCGATACACGAAGTGCAATTTAAAATAACAAGACTACGTAAAAACGCATCAACATAGTAATCTTCACATTTTAGAATATCTCAAATTTTATATTTTAATGGGAAACAGATTTTATAAGAAGACAGAAATATATCTGACGCGTATTAAACGTATATTGTTGAATTAAAAGTCCTTTTTATTGGTTTCGTAAACGTGGATTAAAATATGGAATTAGTTAAATTAAAAACAAAAACTTATATATATATATATATCAAATTATTTGTTTAGATTGAGACATGTTACAAAATTAATTATTTAAAGGTGCATGTCCCTATTAGCCTTAGCTGTTTCGGCATTTTGATGGTTACAATTTAAAAAAGAAAAGAAAGGAGTGTTACATTTGGCTTAATTTGCGGGTGTGTGTGAGTTTACATAGAAGTTTTACATGCTTTGGTATGTGAGTGAGTGTTTTGTGGTGTTTGATTGTGGAGAAAGTGTTGTGTGTGTGAGTTTTTGTTTGCAGATGAAGTGTTTCTGAAGATGGTGTGTATGAGTAGTGTATGGGGTTACTTGCTCATTTTGTGGCGATTGAATGCTGGATTGATGGTTTCTGCGAGTGCGGTGAGGATCGGATCTTCGTAATTTGAACATATTGCAAGTATTGCCGGAGGGAATGGAATTTTAATTTCCGAGCAAAGCATTTTCCTGAAGGGAGGTGAAATAGTGAGGATGTGTGGTGTTGTTGTATGAAGATGCGTTGAGTCTGCCTTGGAGGGTTATGATGTAGTCGGTGATTTTTGGGGTTTTTACTAGATTTTTTATAGAGATATTCGGAGAAACAAAAACTTAAAATATATTAGTTGTACTTTTTACGAAGTTTAAGTTAATTAACAAACATTTTGTGTTAATACTCTAATAAATTTGTTCTACTAAATTTAATTTATTTAATTTATTATTATTTGAATTTTCAATTATTAAATCTAATTCTTTTTGTTATTTATATGATAAAATCTAACATCAAAAGTTTAATATATCCGATTTGTTATATTAAATTGTATTGCTGATTCTCTATAATTTTAGATCTCTGAATATTGAAAAACAATTTTTATTATAAATTCTATATTAAAACTAATGAGAAGTTTAAAATATAACAACATTAATTAATTACGCAATTTTCTATGATATTGCAGCTTAAACATTTATTTCGGTTAATTACATTGAACTATTATTAATTAATAGACCTGATTGACATGTTTATGTAAGCGTATTGTGCATATTGTTTAATTTGCATTGAAACATTATCTGATCGGGAAATACAATCATCCTAATTAACTATAATTGACAGCTATTCGTGGTGCTTCTATTGAGTTCAAATATAATGCAATTTAATGAATACTCGGCAGGAATTATCTGCAATTCAATTGAACAACTGCGTTCATAATATTTGTTTACTATCTCGTTTATACAAGTGAATGTTACGACGCATTTCTACAGACAATTTTCATCTCATTAGTGAATTAGAGAGCTTCGATTATTTTAATAAATAATTCAGAATTGTAATAATTATATAAAATTTGTTGTAACATCAAATAAATGCAGAGATTTTAGATACATTTGATAAATTTGATACATTTGAAGCGTTATTTAAGGGTTTGCGTTTGAATCGATTTAAAATATTGGCAATTCGTTTGATGTTTTTTATACTTATAAACTGTTAAATTTCATTATACATTCATTGTTGTAACATCAAATAAATGCAGAGATTTTAGAAGCGTTATTTAAGGGTTTGCATTTGAATCGATTTAAAATATTGGGAATTCGTGTGATGTTTTTTTACACAATAACACTGTTAAATTTCATTATGCAATAGTAATTATTAAAATTGTTAAAGAAAATAAACGTGTTTTTTTAGCTCCAATTGGACTTATAGGACTTTCAATAATAACATTTGAGCTGTTTTTTTTAGTCCACTAATGAAAAAAAAATAGTTAATGGGACAGAAAGTTAGCAAAATTTTAGTTTTTTTATCACCTCTGTTAGAAAATTATTAATATATTTTCTTTGCGCAAAAATTATTAGATATTTTTAGTGTATGTATTGACTCAATGTTGCTAAGTTTAAATATATTATTAATAAATATCGGGAGGATGTTTTACGAAAAAAACAATAATTTGGAACCATCAAATTTTGAACTGTATTATTAGAACTTATTAATTAAATAAACATTTAATATAATGAATATTTGAATTACTTTTAAAGGTTTATTGATAATTTCTGATTTTGGGCGTGAGTAAAATTAATGCTGTAAGATTTGAAATGAATGCGTTAGTAAAATGCGTTGTCGAGTAATAAATTATGAAACAGCGCAGCATTTAAGATGCCAATTGCATCATAAGTTAACATAAATTATGGTCGGTCTATCTGAAACAATTTTATGAATCTTGAATAATAGCCGCACGTTGATAAATAATTCAAGGAGCGTCCAGCAAAGCACTTCCACATATTTGAAGTAAATTGCGAAATGTGTGCGATTGTCAATTAGCGTCGCTCGATTGTCACCGCAAGGAGCGCATCCAACATCCAACGTCGAGAGATATAAATCAGAAGGACGTTTACATATCTTACCACCTTCGATCCGAGCATAAAACGCAGATCTCTATGTAATTGCGAATTTATGCGCAATCCTCTTCACTCGCCTCTGTCATTGCGCCATAAATTAATTAGGAACGTCAAGTTTATGGGGCGACTGTAATTGCCGTATGAAATGTGTTAATCGGCGGTTTCGAATAGATGAGTGAAAAACGGAAGTCGGTCCTCTCGTCCATAGGATTATTTATATTTCTGGAGAATAGGAGCGCACTGTAATCATGAGACGAAATTGTCGCAATAAATCAGCGACTAATTGCGCTGGTATTCTCTATAAATCACAATTAAAAATCTATGGGAAACGATCGATTCCAAATGTGTTATGATGGAGACATAAAATGCTATCCGCCACTCGAATGACTTACAGCCGAAGTTTTCCGCGTACGGGTAAAATAAATAACAATAAAAACCGAACTGAGCGAAGCATAAAAACAATACACCGTTTATCCGTGGCAATTGATCTTTAGGGACTCAAAGCCATAATTCAAACCGATGCTGAAACAAAACGGGAACACTCACAACAACAACAGCTACATAAAAAAAATCTCGCCCTTTCGACAATCGGAGCGGTTATTAATCAAACATTTCAAATTTATTAAAAAAAAACAGCAATAATTGTTTTGTTCTAATTTATACTTTCTAATTATTATCGTTCTCGCCGATATTATAAATTGTACTCTTTTGTAACAAAATAAAAATATAGATTTCAATACCATCAAGAAAATATAAGTATTATTGTTATAAAGTATACTATCACTATATCTATAACATGAGACATATATATTTGTAAGGAATAACTACAATATTCTGATATACGTTCATGTAATATCTCAAATACAGGTATACGAAATAGTTCCGTGCCAAAGGGTTGTTCGTAAGTCGAATTTGTTCGTAAGTCGTGGGAATTTTCAAAAATTTCAAATTATACTTATGTTACCACACTTTATCAAAATGAACAAAATACTTACTTACAAATACTTGTCAATGTAGACATCACAATTATTTACTAAAACGACAAAGAAACAAATGCAACAAAACAAATAGTATATCTTCCAAAAATATTATATTTTATTAAAGAAATTATCAATTTTTGTTTGGTCAGTTAATTATTTTTATCACTATATATCTCTTTGTAAGAAGTTAGAGCTTTTATAATTTTGTTCGTAAGTCCGGGAGTTCGTAAGTCGATATGATTGTAGACCTACAATTTTTTTGGGACATACGAAAAATAATTCTTTTTTTTTATTCATGAATAATTAAAAAATATTTTTATTATAATCTACACACATTTCAGGTTATTTATTCAGATTGAGACATAATACAAAGTTAATTATTTAAAGGTGCATGCCTTAGCTCTTTCGGCATTTTGATGGTTACAATTTAAAAAAAAAAGAAAAAAAGCAAGCGTCACATTTGGTTTAATTTGCGGGTGACTGAATTATAATCTACTTAACTAGTACCTATGTCTTGTAGATCGTGAAATTTAACACTGCAGATCCATGGAAAACATTATATTTTCTGTAGCATCGTACATCATGGAATTTTGGTAACACCATAGGTTCATAGCAAACTTGATATTTTGGTAGCATCACAGATCACGACGGTTGGCTTTTATAATTTTCGAAAGCGTTAAGGAATCATGGTAAACATAATGTAGACCACAATAGACATTTTAAATTTTTAGCACCATGGAAAACTTGATATTGTATTCTAGATTTTTATATTATATTGTACACTTTTGCAAATTTTGGTAACAACGTAGACCACGCTAGACTTTTGAAATGAATCTTAAAAACTTTTTAAATACTAAAAATATCGTAGTTAACATTTTGAAACTTTAGACTAAATAAATCGAATTAAATGGAAAAGCGAATTGAAGTAACAAAATTTTAAAAATGTTGAAATTAATATGTTAATTTATATATTTTTTCATTTCATATTGCTGATTAAGACATACTTATAGCGTATAATTAAGGGCCTTAAGCTATTAAAATTGTTTATACTGTTTATAGCTCAAAGGTTATTGCATACATACATCATATTAACGATTATTGTGAAACTCGTATAGTATATTGCGATGATATAAATTATAGCAATACGTATATGCTTTTTATTATTATTATTATCTCGTATATTCATAGCATGTGATTTTGGCGGAAAGATGTAGTGAAAGCATGATGCATAGCGTAAACGACTGACTGAAATTATAGGTTTCGTTTAAATTATTGTGCTACTAAATTGTGAGCAGGAAATGTTCTAACGCCTTTACTTGCCGGTGATTACAAATACATAATTAACAGGATAATTACACTCACTTTATGGGAGCTACGACTGGGCGTTCACCGTGTCAAATGTTAGGTGTCTCATAAACCATCCGAATAATTGGGATTATATGTGGTATCTTTTATTTTAAATATATAGATATATACTAGTATACTTTGCAGTTGGATTTCTCTTGAAAAGCGGCGACTCGAGATAGTCGTGATTTATATATTTCGAGCGCTTCCGAATTCGAATCACGCCCCATATAATGTCTTCATCTTTCCAGTAAATCTACCTCCCATACAATAAATGCAATATAAAATTATTATTTTTGAAGTTTCTCTTGTGAAAAGACTAAAGAAGCAAACATAACAACAAATCTAATTTACGTGTGCTTATCAACTAGTTTAGGAAGTTCATGAGAGGGAATGTTGCTCACAGGGTTATAATTTTGCAACACATGACGTTGCATAACGTTGATTATTCGAAAGCACATGCAATTCCTCTCTCACTCTCTACCAATCAATTTCATTAATTATAGAGCACACTAACAATGCTCTAATTACATGAACTCCGACACATTGCGCACGAAATATATTAGTTCGTATTAAGTATAATTGCAATCAACAGCAATGGTAGTCTAAGGAAATAGAACAATATTTGATCGTATAACTTAAGAGTCAAATTATTTATCGATCCAATTTAGTATAAAAGAAACCAGTGAACTACATATGAACATAAAAAGAAATACAGAAACTTCTTTACAGCCCCGTCATAAATGTTTAACCGCTGTTAAAAATATAAATAAAGAAGATGAAAATGGGGGAAGAACTGGAAATCCGTATCTCTTTTACGATGTACTAAAGATTGGCTTAGATCTAAGCATATGTAATCTGGCAACTGCACTTCTGCTTAATTAAAATCTACTAATTAAATTAGCCGCAACGCAAGAAATTTTATTGGAAGCTGTAACTTGTAAACACTTTAATTATTTAAAAAATAATAATAATGTACCAATTACTGAAGCTGAGCCGTTTCCTGTTTCTTGTTCGGTTTGCTAATAATCCGATCACAGTTTATAGTCTAATAAAATACTTCTACTTAAAATTTAATAACAGATAATTGGCATATTTCGAGACAAATAAAAATGTATTTCCGTGTTGCGACAATCGTGATTGAATATTGAAAATAAAGTGATGTTTTTTTGGGTATGGAATAGAGGTATCATCAATAATAGTAATAATTGATGTTGTCGAGTAATCATATTGTGTAAATACAAGGAAAATCGGATTCCGTTTGATATGAAAACTGGCCGGCTTCGTATCGGGTACGTGAGCTAAATGGGTATTGGTATTCCTCTTTAGAACTCGCTCTATAAAGTGCACTTTATTTTCATTTCAAGTCCCGCAACCTCACAGTCTCGTAAATATCTCACACAAACAATTTCATTAAAATAAACTAACGCAGGAAGGCTTAAAGGTAAGAAAGAAAGAAATAAGGAAGGATAAAAAGAACGCGTATCGGATCAGACGCTGAAAACTGGGCCTGATTAATACCATTAAAATTGTTCACGTACTTATTTTCTTATCCGCTCAATCTCGACTCAATGCCTTATGGGTCGAGTATATTCCTTATGTTTTATGTGTTAAAAAAAATATATAAGTAAAGGAAACACTCTGAACAATCTAATTACAATATATACATTTAATAAATTATAAGTATACAATAAATAAATAATTATGTAGCTGGTGGAGCTTGGCTCTGCCTAGGTGGTGCTTGATTCTGTCTTGGAAGTTCATTTGGTGTAGGAGCATGTGTTCCTCTACCTTCGAGCGCTTCCTTAATATACTGCTTAAGCTCAGCCAATTCATTCTTCAGAATATCAATATCATCACCGGACGTATCAACGTTCGAATCTTTCTCTCTGAAATAACGTTGCACCAACTGAGACATCAAAATTGGAAAATCCCTCGCTATATGCTCATCCAACTCGCTCTCTATATAACAGCAATTTGAGGGTGTGCATCTTGCAACTTTACCTGGAGGATTCTTGCTTGCAACTTGTAACCATTCTATGCACGATGAAATGCCCTGAGCTGTAGGTATTAGATTTAGAGGCGGAGGTAAAGTAGTCTGCAACATATACTCTATATATAAATCCGTTTTTCCGAAAGTCCACTCAACGTCTACGTTATCAGTAACTCTTTGATAGGTATTTGATATTGTAGCAATCAACATGTTAAGAAGCATAATCACGATCAACACCTCGAAGGTACCGTACACCATGTACCCTATAGCTTCCGTAAATTCATGATGGTTTGTAATTGTAGTTTTCTCTTTTTCGCCTGGTAGATTTTCTATTACAACATCAGCTGCTTCTAGAGGAGCCATGCAGAAAATAGCCCAAAAGAAAATTTTCAATGCAGCAGAAAAATTCACAAAAGACGAGTTTTGGGATGTTGAGACTCCGTTATCGCCAATTTTTACCATCCCATCATAATACTGGTAAAATCTGCACATGCCAGCTGAGAATGATATTAAGATAAGCGTGAAGATTACCAAATATTTTGCAATATCTGCACTCATCTTTCCAAGCGATATTTGTAATGGTCCCAGGTAGTAATTCAAGCGACACAAGTAAAGTAATCGAAAGTATGACATGATTACGGCAATTGCAAAACATCCCTCAGCTATCAATTCTGGATCCAAATGATGCCAATATTTTCTCTCAAGGTCTGCTTGACCATTTTGTTTAACATCCATGTAAGAAGCAAGCCAGAAAACGAATGTTAATGCGAACAGCACATACATTATCACATCGTACGAGTTCCACATGATCTTGAAATGTCTTTTGGGCCCTTGCATCATGCATAGCCGAAAACTGCCCCACACGTGTCCGACCACGTATAATATGATTAACGGTTCCAAGCCGGAATTTGGTGGACCACGCCTTTGACCAGTTTTATCTAGATTCGATTCTATCAAGAGGACGATCAGGAATAAGAAGTAGGATGCGTTGTGGGTAATCATTTTGTTCAAAGGAATTGCCCAATGCTTCACCCATGAATGCCGTGGCATTAGTAAACAAAGTATAGCAATGAAAGGCAACAATACTAGCCTAATTAGAGGGTAAATGCATCGAATCAAACCATGTTTATATTTCCATTCGTACCAGTCACCGTGCCACGTAGCCTCGATCATCTGCTGCGTGTTTGGGTGTGAAACAAAGCCTTTCTGTTTGTAGTTCATGGCTAATAGAAGTCGAGGATATAAAACACCGGACGCGGAAATCCCGCTCTTCTGCCTCAGAATCAAATCCATTTCTTCGGTGCTCCTGCAGCACGCAATTAGCTCAACTGCAAAGGCGCTGATCTCTTGAGCCAACTCCTGGTAAGCAACTCTAAATTCAGGTACCATAAAGCTGCACTGCGTCAACTCTCTGGACAGCTCAAAGGATGTCAGTATTGGATCGTGGGTGGAGTGGCAGATGTACGCAGGATTCGTGATGGCTCTGTACAAGTTCAGGCGGAGAGTTTCTCCGTGCAACAGATCGTCGTGCTGTAAATGCATCATGCATTCACCGCATTTGCAGTCTGGTGGGTGAGGCTTGGCTATCTTGTGTCCCCTTTCAATTAAAAGTTCAATTATTTCGAAATGGCCGCACTGCGCCGCGAGAATTAGAGGCGTAACGTGATCTGGAAAATCAGAGCTATGGGTTACACCGACGAATTCCAATCCCGGGGCCGTTTCTTGCAATTTATCGAGCAGCATTTGAAGGATCTTGATTAGATTGTCTCTGACCGCGTGCAGAACGCAATCACCGATATCTATATTCGGTTGGCTCACTAGGAATTCCACCATAGATTCGGAGCGGTTCTGTAACGCTATGTGCAAAGCGGAGACGCCTTGGAAGTTTACGCAATTTACGTTGAAGCCTTCGTTTTGTTGTAGGAATTCAATTACCGGAGGTACTTCATTTGCAGCTACCAATTCGAAGAATTTCTTCTCAGACTGCTGCAGGTGTGGTAGTAGTATGCTCGATCTCGGTTGTACTGGTAATTCATCATCAGGTAGTTTCCGGTAACCAGCGGAACTAATGCTCCAATGACCAAAAGTTAGTTTGCTTGATAGAGATGGACCAGGTGCCTGTAATGCGGAAAGTCGTGGAGGGCCTGCAGGAGATGTTTGTTGTTGAAGCGGTGGCGGAGATTGAACAGGTGGCACAGCCGAAGGCCGCCCAGCGTTTGCCATTAAAAGTAGATAAAGTAAAATCAGTTATAAACTATTTGTCATAATAAACTGACGTTTTTGTTGTAAATTGTGATTGAGTTGCTTTGATTTGGTATAGACAAATTCAAACATAATATAATTATTGAGCATGTTAACGTACAATATTCTTGGATATTATTTACGAAACATTAGTTTTCACAAGTCGATTGGATTGCTGTCATTTTTATTGTTCTGTTTTCACTATATTTCAAACTTTTCCACGCACAATCTTCCATCACTAAAGTCAAAACAAACCAATTTTTCAGGAATTACTGTTATTACATGACGATAAACCGTTCAATTGAGTCTAGATGAAAAAACTTTTACCTACTTCTCTATTCAATAGTCGTTAATGTATTTGTTAACAAAGTTAAACATCAATGTTTTTAATATTATATATAAATGTTTACTGTACAATTAACCAACCTTTAAGTATTTTGTTACATTTTGAAATTATATATATATATATATTTATTTTGTTCTTTATATTGCGGTATATGTTTTTTTTTCTTTACTACTGATGCAATAAACATTATTGTTATTACTTATTATTAACTTAAAGTCAATTAAATAAATGTTAAATAAACACATGTAAAAGGAGAAAATGTGTTTGGCATATAATGTATATTTTATTAAATAAAAATTGTTATCAAATAAAGTTGTGCTATTTTAAGTCATTTTTTCTTCAGTTTCTTCAGGCTGTGAAGATTGCTGTTTCATAGAAGCAAAGTATTCCTCTGCTAATGAACATGCCTGCTCTATCTCATAATTCCTGGACACCAATGCCACCCATTTTGCCTCCAAGTTTCTTAATTCTTCACCACCCTTAGTTTGTATAGACTTCCTCTGCCAATTAACCTCTTGCAAAGCTTGCTTCAATTCAGCTAACCTCTTTGAAGCAATTTGTTCACACTCTGTCAGAGATTGTAAATATCTTTGCCAAGTGGGGCAACAAAACTCTAACATCAGTTGCAAATTTAAAATCCTCACAGCCTGGTGTTCCAATTGTGCTTGTGAATTTTCAACACACTCATTCCAAGCACCCACTTCATTTAGCTTTCCACCAGGGGGTGGTGGTAGTTCATACCTTTTCATTGACATTGTATCCATTGGCAAGCGATTCTGTAATCTTTCAAACTCTGCATGCATCATTGGTGTCTCAAATGCAGTCACATTTAGTGGTGGAATTATTTCTAAGTAATTTTTCGTTGGTCTGTATCTTCTGCATTCTTCTTCCACCATAGCAAAAGCCTAAAATATATATTTTTAAGTATTGTTAACATAGTAAACTTTTTATTCATTATAAAATGTTTTGTACTTACAGCTTCTCTAACACCTGGTCATCATATCCTTGATCAATATATGGGAGAGCATCCACAATTACTTCTCCAGCTAATATTTGAATTTTTTCTGCCATTTAGATATCTATGTAATTCGTTATGATTTTTATCAATATTAACAATGAAATTGTCTAAAATACTGAAATTTTGAGGTTAGTGAGTTTTTGTTTATTGGTGTTGAGGATAGGTAACTTTTCAACCATTTCATAGGCAATTTTCATATCATCTCATGTAGGCAACCACATGACCACGATAATTAATGTCCAAAGTATGTTCATTTTAATATGCAAATAACTACTAATTATTGAAATTGTTAAAATATAAATAGAAAATAACAAATATTTCTTGTAAATTAATTACTTTCTTTATTGTTATCAATTGCAAAAAACACTGACTTATCTTTTGTACAAAACTTAAAGATGAAATGATGCACACAAATCTGGTCTTCTGTGATTCAGTCATTCAATGAATTTATATATTCACGGAACAATACAAAAAATTAAAATAATCTAATGTGAGAACTTAATTATTTCTTGTCGGTGGCAATGTTTCTCAACATTCTATTACCAGCAATGAACGTAAATCCGCCGATGTAAACCAACCACACACAAGTGGAGAACATGTTTCCACACAGCCAGAACCAAGTGTAGAGTGCGAGAATACCGGCATAACCCAAATGGAATGGAACGGAATAAATATTGAAGTAGTTGAAAGGCAATCCTATCTTCATCCAGATGATCAAGAGAAGTAACAGGGGACTGGCCGCTGCAACCGTGAAGAACATTGAAACCGCCTGCGGTGGGCGTTTCTCAGCCACTCTAAACATATGTTCTATTTCGGGTTTCACATCATGAGTTGGTACATTGGGA